AAAAAATATTTCCGTTTAGAAATTCTAACTTCAAAGCAAATCAATAACAACTTTAAATTCCAGTGTGAAGAAATGCAAACATTTTTATCAATGACTTTTTACTCTACACAAAAAGTCCTATTCCATGTCTACTTCTCGGTTTATCAGTTTAACAGTGTTGTCAACTCTAGCATATATTTTGCCATTCCTAGACCATACGTTTCTGGCTCCATATTTCGATTTGGCTTTTCCTTGGATTTTGTAGCGTGCATCAGACAGATCTTCGTTTATGAACATTGACGTTCCTTTCAGATTTTTCTTGGCTGAGAATATCTCATTCCGTTTTAGACACGACACAAAGGTAAGCAGTACCACTCTTATATCTGTAATAAAATTTTCAACTGTGTTATTTTTGAAGAATCTCCTGTAATCATCAATATGGGTTTCTGATTTGTGATCAATACCTTGGTCAAACATTATGGTGCGGTGATCAGAAATAATATTATCGATAACACAAGTCGTGTTATCTGTTAAATTAGTTGTCATCCATCATCCAGTCAGTTTGTTTTTTGTCAAACCATCATGGAAAGATTTAGCGTCCAGAAGCATGTGCAATATATTTCGGAAACATCGTCGCTGTCTGTGGCGGATATTTGAACGAATGAAAAATTTCGATGATTTCCCATACACACTCTGTTTTATTCAAATTCAAAGATAAGAAGCGCGCATTGTGATTCTCGTTATAATTACCACAAAGGGTATAGCAGGCTCACATCAATCATACAACATCGCCTTTCAAAGTCACTGTCATAAAAAATCAACCACCCGTTCATTAAATTTTTCACAAAATTCAAGTTATGTCTAACCAATGCAGTTTTCCACTTCGTGATCTCAATCCCTGCAATGATATGGATGCTTGGTGGAACATGATAACGTCTGTATACAATTTTCTCAGTGCCTCAACTAACCTTGCACAAACTCTCGACAGAAAATACGCCAATCATCGAGCCAACATTCATATTTCACCCCTATTAATTGAAGCTCCACCAGAAAAATCCCGCCAGGTTTTTCCAGAAGAATTTCCTTGGTTCGTACAACTGATGAATAATGAACAAGATTGCACAGGAAACAGTACAAAGGGAACTGTATTTTCAAAAGAGCGGACAGATTGTTGCGAATATCTTGATAAATTGAATACTCAGCAAAATAACCAACCCCAAGTAGATAAAAATGTCAGTATAATCGCTGGTATTGAAAAAGAATTACACAATGTGCTAGCATGGGAACAATCTATCATTCAGAACTATTTAGACAATGAGGAAAGAGCTCTCGATGATTTAGTGCAAAACGTGAATACTATTTCCACTAAGAGTTATGCGACAAGTGGGCGAAATTCCACCCAGCAGGAAGAAAATCATAAAAGCCCTACTGATGATGAAACTGTGAAATTCAATGAAGTTTCAGATGACAGTTGTGACATTCAAAAATTCAACAATTTCGAACAGAATATAGACTCTTCCAAGTCACAAAATGTACATCAAAGTGGGGAGATTGATGAAAGAAATGACTCGCAGGAATGTTCGTTGTCTTTTGAAAATCGTACCGTTACAATCGCGAACTTGGGGACCAAAAAATCAACGGGGAAACAGGACAGTTGCTGTGATGAAGAGAAGACCGTTGACAAAATGGAAGCAATTCATAAATCCACAGTTGATGAACGAAATTCGAAAGTCGAAAAGAAAAAATGTTCAAAATACCATAAACCAAGTAAGTGTAAACATGATGAACTCACTGAGGAATCTGCATCAGAAAATAGTGCTGCCGTTAGTTGTAAGTTAAATGGTGATTTGAATAATGAAACTGAGAAATCGGAACTGAGATCTATCAAGACTGCTCCTCCAGATGATGAGCTTTCTAAGTGTAGTCCCACAGTACCAAGGAAAGTGTGTAAGAGAAATTATTCAGATATCGTTCCTAAGAATATAAATGAACTCAAAGAACACTTGGATTCAATCAATAAATCCAAATTATATAAAAGACCTACTAGGTCAATAAACACACGCTCCACTGAAAACAGGAAACTGTCTGATGATCCGGAAAATAAAAACGTCAACTTCACTGTGTTCACTGCAAACATTTCTTACAAGGAAAACCAGAAGAATAAATTGGTTTCAAAGAAGAACTCCCGAGTATCTGATCGCTTTGCGTCCGTTGAGAGTGTTGTTAAAAAGCTGATAACTGGTGGTGGTAAAGTTAATAAAAATGCAGAAGTTGTATCGCCAAGTAGTCCGACAAATAATAGGAATGTCACTATGAAAAAAACGAATAGTCCACAAATCAATACTGATTCTTCAGCAAAAACGAGTTCAGATGTCGATGATAACAAAACTTCAAAAAAATCTCTTGGGAAACTTCCTAAACCTACTTCGAGTACATATCCTGGGCATATTTCAGAAAAAACCAATAGCAGTGTTGTGAATGACAAATCTCTACGTAACAAATATACTATCAGTAAATCGATAAAACCTGAAAGTTCATCTGAAACAGAGTCGACCACTAATAAACTGACACCTATTTCCAAAATGAACACACCGGATTCTGGTACAAGCAAACGCAATACTTTTCAAAAATTGAGGCAACCGTCTAGAGAGCGATCAAGTCATGCAAAGACCCCAACAGGAAAGCAACCTATAACAAAAAATTCACCAAGTTAAAGAATAGAAAACTACAAGTTTCACATTATATATTGTAAATTTCGAAAAAAAAACATTGTTCTGAAAAATTTCATAAAATGGTTAGATATTAAAACATCAGCTTGATGGACTTTTTTTTGTCATTTTCTATCACTATCAATACAGGGTGTTTCAAATTCGATCCTCACCATTGGGATCTCGGAAACTATGAGAGATACGAACATGGTTGAATTGGGGCAAAGTTGCGCATTCAGATGACTAACAATATGCCGTTGAGGAAGTTTTGAAATTTCAAATATATCCGGAGATATCCGGCAAACAGAAATT